CAAACGTGAGAAATAAATACATAGTTAACAACTCCCATCTAAAATTACAGACAGACTTTGAAAATCGAAAATTCTGAAACAAGCAAAAATTGACACAAAAGGTGACTAATCATTGTATAGGCCACATCGCATTCAAACGCCACTACGAATGTACAAATGGAAGTAGAATGCGTGCCGCATCCCAAAAAGGGATTGATCAACGGCAAATGCTTTATCCTTTAGTACTTTCCTGCCCCATTTTCGTTTAGCGCCAGGTCATACTAGAAAAGGTTAGAAAAAATTGTAAATAGTGGTGAAATGAAATCGAAAATTCTGAAGCAAGCAAAAATTGACACAAAAGGTAACTACCGGTAAAATGATAATCAACATAGCAGCAGTATAAAAACAGATTCAATATAGTAGCAGTTGACAGAGAATAAATAAATTCGTGGCTGCACAAAGAACTCATCCATCCTTGTTGGAACAAGACTACGAGTTGGAGCAATAAAGGGGCGGAGTCCGGGGGAGTGCCTATAGATAGCGAAAGTCAGCCTCTTCTTCCTTCATATACTTGCTAATTTCCTAGCTGAACCTCGAAAAGGGTTGTTGCGCACGAGAACGTGTTACATTCTGATTCGAAAAAAACACGCACCACAAAAAACCCTCTGGGGTAAACTGATAAGGGTGTGCTCACTCAGTAAACAACGCCGAAATGGCTTTTGGAAGTGGGCTTGAATCATCTCGCTTTTGTTTTCGCTAGCTCCGGGCTTACTCCTCCGATGGAATCAGAAGGTCAGGCACGCCGCTTCATTCGCTCGTGTTCTCAGTATTATGGAGATTACTACTTGCAAAATAACGGGTTGAAGTGAAACATTACCAGATATCTACCACTCCTGGCTGGATAGGGGGTGGTTGGTCTGCGGATCAATTCCCAGACCAATCACTGCCCTGTCCAGCCAGGGAAATGCACTTATGTTTTCTCACGCCAGAATCAATCATCAGTCATCAGGATTCAAAAATACTCAAGGGCAACACACATATGCATGAGATATCTCCAGGCTTGTCCTTAAAAAACTCTAACTTGAGATTATGGTAAAGGCAAGCCCCAGGCAGTATAAAAGCGCCTCATAGTGATAGTGGAGCTGAACAAGTGAACTGAAAGGGAGAAAGAAAGCAAAGAGAAAGGTAGAGTTGAACTCGACCGAACATGCTCTTGCTTCTTTTTGAGGTGGTCTGCTGCTGAAAGAGAGGGCTCTGTTAGGAGCGTAATCGGCGTTTTGTTGCTTCTTTTTGAATCACTCCACGACCAACTTCATTATTGATCATCGAAGACGCCAAATTTAAGGGACTTAAGCTCCAGCAAGGTCGGATGTGGTACAAACGAGAGATACTGAACCAGAGAAGACGAAACCAGAGAGAGCATGCTGATCTCCACATCTATAACGGTCAGTGGAGAAGCTCGCGTGGTTGCAATCTCCTATATGATTAACGCCTCAACCAAGCGCGTTTTTGCGCACGATTCCGTAGGGACGCCCCTAAGACGTTCCTGCGGCGTGTTTGCTAGTGAGCCCAATCCGGAAGCTACCTCACACTCAACGAATTAGGTTGAACAGCCCCGCGAATAGAATGCGTGTGAAGAGAAGTTGCAATAATGAAAATGGAGTGCCAGTAATCTAAATAAGTTAGAAGAAGCAACAGAAATTACCTACCTAACAAGCCCCCCCTCTTCAGCAGCAGTCCTACACTTAAACGGGAAGGCGGTTCAACTTTCATTATTCAGCATGGCATCAACTACTATCTTTGGATCTTTACTTATCAAGTTTTCTGGCTCCTACGTCGTGAAGAACGTGCGTCTAACAGAGGCCACACGTGACCTCTACAACATGCATTGTGAGTGGACAGTTGCCAGTACAAACAAGCTGGTGGGTGGGGACAGTTGGTTACAAGTTCGTAACGAATAGGGCCTCAGTCATACATTTTTTCGGTAAGAAAGCACGACCTCTAAAGGTACAGACCTACCACGTCAACTCACGGCGTGATTCCTACTAGTGGACCTAACCAGTCGATTAAGAGGTGGAACAAAACCCTTCGACGAATAGGTCATTACAAGCAATTCACAGGTGCTGCTTATTTAGGCACTCAACCCTTGGCCAGCTTCACTAATTGTGTAGACTTGTAAGCAAGCCCCCAAACCACCCCAAGCAAACATTTCATTCTGCCCTATTATCTGTTGTGCCTCTCTCGTCTTCAACTCAATTCTCCCCTACCTCTTCGTCACAGCAACTCATCCGTCGCGCACCTTTGTTTGTTGCATTAAAGTGAGGCGACCCTAATTTTCCTGTTTTTGATTACTTCTTCATATTTTTCTCTTTACTGGCGGTCTACTACATTTTTTGAACTTGCTAATCTTTTGGGCCGTACAACCGCACCAAATTAACCGCGAACTGTTTTCCGAATTGAGGAAGTGGTTGAGTTTGCTAAAATAGTAGTAGCTGTGCAAAACACTTTACTCCCAACTTAAGGGCGAACTCTTTGCCTTGGGCGGGAATCGAACCTGCGCTTCTCGCTTTTCGGTCACTTGTGCTACTAATTGCACTACCGTAGCACCGCTTCACCTCAGCCCACCTTTTGATAGTATTTTTACCATCTCATTGAAGAATTTTACGCATGACCCAGCATTCTTGTGATAATATTCGAATGGCGAACAGCGGCCGAAAACTGCACATAGAATCAAAAACGAGTCAAAATTAGCTTTCCGTAGGTAAGTTTCTAGTTCGGAAAGGTTTATTATTTCTGGCTCCTCATTCTCGAGTTTCACACGTGCTTTACTCACTGCTCATGTCGAATGAGAACGTCGGTAGTGATTAGCACATATTGTAGGCGCTAAACATTAGAGATCACTCGGAAGCAGGGACACACTTTGAAGCACTCATAATCATGCAATCTCTACGGAGCCACATTGCCTCAAGTCCTCATCCTTCACTGCAAATTAATTCTCTCAAATTGAACGATCTTTGCAGAAAAAGCGGAAAAGTAGAGTCGGTAATCCAACCATAAGATCTCGCATTGACACCAGGTGACGCTTTCGTTCACTGTGGCCTGCTCTTCCGTAACCAGCTCAAGTTGTACGGATAAGGGATGGCTACATAGGTCGCTGGTGGAGAGCAATCCTGGCGAACCCACCAATGGGAGCCCCATTCTCTCACTATTGCACTGATGCAATGGTACAGGTGTTCTTGAGCCTATTTCTTGGACAGAACAGTTTTATTCACCGGTAGTGTACATGGTTAGAAGCCGAACGAACAAGAGGG